AGAACATCGCGCATGAAGCGGCCACCTTGACCTTACGATAATAAAACCGGCGGTAAACGCGAGTTAATTGGCATACAAATGGATTTTTCAATGTAGCAGTTCGGTCTGCACGAGTACACAGTCGTCGTTGCAGCAGCTGCTTTTGCGTTTGCGATCGGTAAGCACGTGCTTAGCATAATACGAATTAGTGCACGATTCCAGGCGCGACTATTCCGACTATTTACGCACGCGATCTCCTTTCGTCCCGAACAATCTTGAATCGTTTTTCACCAACAGTATCAGTCGATACGAGAGCAACGGTAATTATACGACGTGGTGGATCGAGTATTTCAGTTCCACTAACGCGAAACATTCTCTCGCAACTAATTATGGAGTAATTATAATGCCAGACTGGCGCGTTATATCGTGCTCTATATGTACACGTCGTTCCACGGGTGTTTCTCTCTCTCTCTCTTTGCATCGCAATGGCAATAAATATTTTACAAGCGAAAGAACGATACATTAGCGAATAAACGCCGCTACGAAAATACGATAATATCCTTGATATGCAAATTATCTTTAATCTTATGCAAAATGTATTTCGGAACCATTGCAAATTTCATTTTAGAAATTTATCGATACGATAACGGGAGAAACGCTTAAGAAAGTTATTTCAAAATTACAGCATATTTTCTTTTCTATATTTATTATAAATTCCTAGATAAATTTAAACAATAAACTTCTCTGAAGTGAAGATTCGATAGAAAGTCATTTGTAGCAACTTTCCAACTTTTATTAAATATCCTGGTAATTAAGTCTTGAATTAAATTTTCTCTACAGCAAAATAACAAACAAACTATATTGGTCAACTTAATTGAAAAACGAGATCTTATTAAAAATTTAATAACGTTCACACTTTTACTTTTACAGCTATATTTATCGAGAGAATTTATTCGCGATTTTTTTTTTACATTAAACAATTTTCTCGTTTAAAGATATTAAATATAAGTTTTAATATTCTTGTCAATATTGGATGCTATAGCAAATATTTTTTTCTTACATTACTATAGTTTTATGCGAAATTGCATGCTGTTGAACACGCACGTCGAGCACGTATCAACGCATTTTTTCAACAAAAAGATTCCGATGCAATAAATTCCGGATCAGCAACTCTGGCTCTTGACGTCAATAATCTTTCCAGGACGACCTACACAGTCTCTATCAATTTCCTGCGTTCACCCTTTTGGATTTATTCGCGACCGGAAGCCGCATGAACGGAAGAGACCGGAATAATTGCTAGTGTCGATGACACAAATTCTCGTAAAACCAATCAGCTAGCACGGCTGATTCTAGAACCAATTTATCGATTAAACCGAATGTACCGTTACCGTTACCTACAATAATCGACTGATTGTGAATCAATAGCGGAATGTTACCACCTAAAAACAAACAAAAGCGTCTGTTTTCACAGCAATAAACGTTCGCAAACTGTCTTTTTTTTTATTTTGATGAATGCCGATTATAAAATAAAATAGCACAAAATAAAGAACCATCTTGTGTATTTGTTATTGCAGACTTAGAGATTGGAGAACAATTATTTAAAGTTGTTATTAGCTGTGTTTTATTCATTAAAACTTATGTGTATATGCGCATATGTAAAAGAATTTTTTAAATAAAATTGTCTTGTAATATCGATAGAAGTTTAGAATTATACATATAAATTTTTTAAAGGAATTAAGTTTATTTAAAATTTGAAATCAATCGTAAATTTATTTCTTTGTCAGATCCAAATGACAATTGATACGACTAGACACTATTACGTACATCTGTATATTGCAATAATAGTATCGTTTTACAGTTAGTATACGATAGTTCGATAAGTGGAAATCATATGACGTTACCCTAGAATGGACGTAATTGTTTTCGCTAAAAATGTCCTATTGTTGAAACCTGCCGTCCTGAAAGAAGTAACGTGATTCTTTTCGCGATATCTTTTTTGCAAAATGTGATATTTTGTACGAAAATATATTAGAGAGTTTTTTTTATCACGGATACTATCGCGTGTCAGCTTGCATCCATATTTTCGAAACAAAACAATTCTTTTTGCCATTTTACATGGCTTTACATATTTTTTTTTCCTGGACTCTATTATAAACGCACGCATTATAAAGGCGTCACGCACTGGTAAAATGTAATTACCAGCGCAACGGTGATTTCGCGTGCACGGTAGAGAACAAATTTTTTTACACACCGGCTTGCATGCGAGATAAACGATGTGCAACCGAGGACCACATATGAGGCTAAATAATCGCACGTGCCTCTCGTCGCCTTTCACTTAAAACTTTTTTTTTCATTTTATAAAATATGCTCCAAAAGAGCAACTCACCTGTATTCTAAGAGACGTAAATTTTGTACCTTCTCTTAAACTCCTACAAAAGTACAAGCTTTTCTCAGAAGCTACATCTTTGTTACAACTGATTTTCGACTTCTTTCCACTTTCCTCGGTTGCACCGTAAAACGACAATTTCATCGGTTAACCCAATAGCAGTGGCGACGTTATCTAAAATGGGTTATATACACGTAGAACGGAGAAGGAGAGAATTGCTACGAATAATCCAAAAAAAATATACTTGGTGCGTGAACAAGACGATAAGATAAAGGACGCGGATTTTACGAAGGTAAAGCCAGATTACCTCTCTTGTAGATACAAAAATATTTTCAAACTTGACTACTCTCATGAAAAAAATTGTTTTCTAAAGCGATATTTATAATGGAATTTGGTCTATAAATATTTTCTGAAAAAGTGTAAAACATATCTTCTTAACAATACTCTTAAAATTGAGATATTTTTATTAGAAGGTTTTATTTAGAATTATTTTAATCAATTGAAAAAGATATTTTAATATGTTACGTTATTTCTTTCATGAGCTATTTGAATAAGATTTATAAGTTATTTTTAGTAAATATGTTCACACCGGATATTGCTAATCTCTGTAAGCTAGTAGATTACCGTTAACAGTTGATTGTCCCGATTACCGCAGAATTGCTAACGTAATACTTCCCCGCAAGAAATCAAGTACAAGCATGCGAAGTATGACTCCCAGGCATTTCCTCCTTATATGTGTTAATGACCGGTTCGTTCCTTGAATCATTATAACCTTCCTCTTATAAGAGCGATAAACAGCAGCAAAAGCATTCTATATAACTATATTTTGAATTAAAATCAAATTTATTGAATGTATTAATATATATCAAAAATCAAATATATCAAAATATATATAAAAGAAAGAAAAACAATACAATTTTTCTTTTGTTATTTAAATCTTCGATTGTAAATGAAATCTTCAACTTCAATTTTCTTAGTATTTCTCTCTTAGATTTAAGTCGTTTCTTCAGAACGAAAAAAATCAATCTGCATATTTAAAAAATTACATTTACAATGCACATCGAACTGAAGAGTAATTTTACTTTTGCCTAAATGAGTCGCCGTAATTTACAATTCGCCGGTGAATTAATGAACTCGCGTACAACCGAGTATCGGTGCTCTCATTCCTTCACGGCGAACGCGTCGATTATACCGCCGTCGATCCTCTCTCGCGTCGAATTAAAACTTTCCACTCGTAGACATAACAAGCGACCGCGATTCAAGCTTGGGGTTTCGATCCAACACCATTCGTTGAATGCATGTGCACGCATGCCGACCGCATTAATAATACGATTATGCAACGAGCCTCGCGCACGACGATTATATTAGTGACCGGACCTCGGATACGTAGCTAGGAATCGGATTCCGTTTAGACATAATACTAACAATAATCTCACCTTGAATGCGAAAGCATCTCGCGTTGTCTGCAACCGCTGCGAAAGTTGGAAGGCGAAATTATACTAATTGTTAAACTATGCTAATTGTTTGCAATCAATGTGCATTGGAAGTGATAATCCACGCGTATTAAAAATTTACACTAAATATTCTACTTTCACCGGATTAAACATTAATGATAGAATTTTAAATAAGTATTATTGTTTTGAACGAATTTTACAAGAATTTCAAACAAATCGTATTTTTTTAATGAAAAAAAGTATCTCTCATAAAACATAAAATAAAATAAAATTTTGTGTTTTACACATTAATTACAGTTACGTCCCCATTCTATAAGATTATGCAAAAAGTTAATAGCCTAAGTCAACTATAACTAAATGCACAGCACACCTGCCACTTTACAGACAGCTATGTGAATTGCAAAAGCATGTAGATGCGCGAGTATCCTGCGAGTGACGTTATCATTGTGAAACATTATTCAGTCGAAACTTAAGTGTAAAACCTAACATTTTATTTTTGTACGTGCAGTAAATTATTTCATCACTTTACGTTAGAAGCTAGTTCGATTAGCTTTGTTCAATATATCCTTTATCGTTTTGTAAAACTAGAACCCTGCAAAAAAGAGAGAAAGCATTAATTCAGCTATTGTTAAAGTATAATATATGACTTCCTGTAAAGGCAAGCGTACTGATGCCTTGCTTACTGATCTTTGAAGTAAGTTTATACTACCTTGTATTAGTATATCTTGCTTATTAATCTTTGAAGTAAGTTTATATTATGATTTCACAAGACTGCATTAAAAGCTTTTGCATTTCTCTTTATATTTTATGCTGCTTTTCAACTTTGACTTATTACGAAAGTTCCACGAGGCAGGTGTAAAATGAAATATAGTTATATAGAGACTTTGCGGATCAAACGTTTTCACGACACATTCCGTGTTTTACGCAAAACGTAAAACTTACGTACGAGTTGTAATCGCGTTAGGATACGCTATGTTATCTTTGCAGAACGCCGTTTGTACGTAACTCAAATTCATACACGCACGAAAATATACACACGACAGGTGAAAATAGAATAAAACATCCAGTTCGTTAAAACCGCTGTTTGCTAGAAGCTGCGAGCGCGCAAAAAGAGGGAAACGCAATTTCCCGGAAAGGCTAACCATTGGTATCACTCTAACAATGTCATTTCTCGATTGCAGGTGAGGAAGTGGTGACCGTACCGTCCACCAGCAACGATCAGGAAAGCTGGAAAGTACAGAGAATATCCGTAAACGGCGAATCGCCGCAATCGAGCAATCGTCGCCGCGGCTACAGTCGGTCGCAATTGCAACCGGTCGTTTCCGGTGGCAAGAGGAATCGGCTGGCACCATCCCCACCGACGCAGCCGATATCTTACAAAGTCAATGCTAAGGACCAGCTCGACAAGTACTTCGACTGGCCGAATAAGGAGAACACGCCCGGAAATGCCATAAACCGCCGCGAGGACGATCAACGACAGGCGAACCAAGTCCAGGAGACCGAAGAGTCGACAATGGGCTCGAATCTGAGTAGGCATAACGGAAAGGGCCTCACTGGCCGACGCACTCAGTCTTCCGGGAACCTGTGCGAACCCAAGGGAAAGCTCAACAGCATGGGGAAGATACTGGTGCCCTGTTCCAGCGCGCAGAAAGAAAGGTGAGCCATTAAAAACTAAATATGAAATGAAAAGCTCTGATATTAAATAACTAACAATAAGTAAGGAATAGCGGGCTAATTAAGAGCCTGGTACGATTAATAATACGCGAATTAATTTTTATATATGTTTCTTGTTTGGATCATAAATGGTCCAAATATTAGGACCGAAACGTACATTATTACAGTAAACAAGAGAAAGATATATAAAAATTAATTCGCGCATTATTAACCGCACCAGACTCTTAATTAGCCCGCTATTCCTTACTTAGTCCGTTAAAAATTGTTATTTCCCCCATTTTATTAAAGATAAATTTATATTCTTTGATTTATACTCATATATCGAGTGAGTTTTTGTTTTTAATTAGATAGAGAAATTAATATTGCGTGCGCGCGTTTATGGCACTTTAACTATTTGCCTATTTTCACCAAACTATATTCGCGCGATTTATCTCTGCGACATTTGATATTAGCATTTAATCACACAACTTTTTATCTACGAAGGAAAAAGATAAATATATTTTTTTTCTTGTTGCGTTAAAATTTCTTTAAAGGAGATATAAAACGATAGATTAAAATTATGCAGGTATACAAAATTAAAAGTACGTTGAAGGTATACGTAAAAGTTAGTATAAATGACTACGAAGGTATCGGATTAAACTGAAATATTATGAAAGAAAAAAAGAGATACGAGATGTTTCAATCGTAACTTCTCTCACGTCAAAAGATTAAATGCTCTTTGTAGCCTTGCAGATATCGTTAATTTTTTAACAATACGAAACGAGTGAAACGCTGCGGGCGGGAGTCTCATGTTGCAATATTCGTAGGGAAAGGTCAATTCGCGATCAATTTCTCATCTAATATACTTGGAAAAAGCATCGTTAGTATTACGCCGATAATCTGCTTAACACAAATCTATCTCTGTGAATTATAAATATCCTTATAGAGAACAGACTTATATCAAAAATATATAGAAAATTGAATCACTATTAAGTATGGTTACTAATATATTCGCATCTTATCTAAATACATCATATCAATCCTTTTAATTAAATGATAATAAGTATGAACTTTTTATTATTGTATACTAAAAAGATATCGTCAAATTCAATTTAAAAAATTATAGTAATATATTTAAAGATTTCCAAAGATTTGTGTGTATTTGTGTGTGTGTGAAGAATAATTTAATTTTAATCTTTAATACAAGTCTTTTCTTAACAATAGCGTTGCAAAATCAATTGCATTATTAAAGAGAATTAATTACAGAATGCAGAAATACTTTCTTTTTATTTCACAGAGAATTATTAGATTAATTTATGTGCAAAGCGCACTCTTGTAATGCTCGTCAAATGTATAAGGTGGGGAATTCATTTTCAGTTACTATCGGTGTGAAATGATTTTTACCCACGATCCTCGCGTGATGATAAAAGTCTTTTCATCTTTAGCCTTTTTGCTCGTAGTCTTTTTGTGTCTGTCGAAAGAAGGTCGACTTGACATGCACATCTTTCTATAAAGAAGTCATTCAATATTAAATGTGCT